AGGCTACTTTGAAATTATTGATTTGTGGAAAAGTCAACGTGAAATTTCCCTGTTTTGACGTGGCCATTTTTAAATGAACCTCTCAGGAGGAAATACGTGTGAATAGCCTGTAAAAAAGGTCATGATTCAAGTTTGGCCTTTGATCAAGAAATAGCATTTAAAAAAAACCAAAACCTAATTTTAAATACCTAAAAGGCAAAAATACCCCTAATTGAAAGAGAAGAAAAATCTCACGGACCAAAAACGTGAAAACCGACTCCAACAATTCCCAAAAATGACCACTTTATTTTTGAATCCGGCCACCACACCGACAAACAACTATTACCAACGCGAGCACCAACAACCACAAAGAGGAATGTTAGTTTTAATTCATATATTGTGTTTCAATTATTTTCACATTTTTTGAGTTTATTGAATCATATATGCGTAGATTTGTTTGAGTATTAGTCTTAGCGGTGAAATTTTGGTATTTTAGGCTGTGTTTGAAATGGCGATTTTTAGCCATTTCCTGCGAAGAAGCCGGCTACAAACAGCCCATCCCACTACCAACTGTTTGTAGTCGGTTCAGCCGATAGAAACCGGCTGTTAACAGCCGTTCGAACCAGCTGTTAACAGTTGATGTCTCAGTTGTTAATCGAAATTTTGAACAGTCGAAATGTTCCGCTGTTAACAGCCGAAAAATTTCACTGTTAACTGCCGATTGTCCATCTGCTTTTTTCGTAACAGAGGCGAACCAATCAGAAAGTTGTGTGGATGAATTTTTTTCGTTCGTGCTTAAAAAAATTATAGATCTGCTAAGAAAATTTATCTGCCAACAACTCATGTCGAATCTTAATTTATCGAGTAAAAACGTATACACATTTAATGAAAACGAAATTAAACATACGTATTTATACTTACCGATTCGAAGTAATTGATGAAAATCAATTTTTTTCTTCAGTTATAGATATTTTTGAAATTTTCAGAGTGAAAAAGTTGAGAGAATTTTTATCCGTGTTTGAGCTGATTCTGTAATTTTATGTAGGAAATATTTGATTTTTATTTGTTAATTAAAAAGATAGTATTATCTTTTAACAAAACTATATTTTGTAATTGTTTTATTGACTTAAAATTTTTTATCTTTTGAAGACCCTTGGCCTATATTGAAATTATTGATTCATGAAAGGTCAATGTTGCATTTCCCTCCTGACCATTTAAAAATAAAGGCTTATTAGCACAAA